CTTCTGAATAACGTTTGATCTACATGGAAATAAAATATCTCAAGCAGATTTTATAGGTATTAATAGTGAACTATTTCTTACTATTAAGGAGGCTTCCAGAATATTATAATACATAATAATAAAATAGTTATTATATGGTATCTGATAAATGCAAAAATCAATTAAAAAATTATTATAAATAATGTTCTTTTAGTCTTGAAATACACATCAGAAATTATTTCTGTTTATAAAAGTGTTACAAACTTTTCCAATAATACAAAACATTAAATTTCTAAAAGAAATTTAAAAAAATATTTATTAATGCATTTATTAAATAATAATAGATGTTTTACTTGGTATAGTTATTAGTGAACCATGGTTCATGATGTGTTATTAAAGTAGAAGAATATGATTCAATGAAAATAATCTGTATGTAAATTCCATAAGTAAAAGTAGATGCATAATGCATAAAAAGTGAAGAGTGGTTACATTATCATAGAAAGTATAAGTATTTACAATTCCTAGAACAAAAGTGATTGTACTTAATTTACTGTATCTAATGATTGTATTTAAAATGTACTGAAAATAATTACACTTAAATAACTGAATGTAAACAAAATGATTATACTTATTAATTTACACAAATTTTATTTTTCAAATATAAATTTTTCTCTCTATGTCCCTAACCAAACTTCTGCTCCGCAGTAGCGTATCTAGACAAATTCCTCCCTGTCCAAGAGAACAATTTTAAAAACTATTGCGTCATATATTTTATTTAATTATATGTATTATAAATATTCCGATTTTTTATAAGGTATACATAATCAATATAAATTTCATCACTTAAGCAGCAGTATCGTATTGAAATATTAAAATTTAAACTATAAGCAAATCTTAAATAGTCGAAAAAGAAATGTTAGGAAATATATGTAGGTACCTGGACACATTTCGCCTCGACCCAGAAAAGTGGATACATTCCTGTCACTGCCAACCAATCAAATCAGCTTCTCCCCCAGAAATCATTCTCACAAAACCCTCATCCTATTCGAACAACGCAATATGCATCGCACAGGAAGCGTCTCACGCTCAAAGAAATATGCAAGGAAAACATGCATACCAGACAAAACTTTATTCTTATCTCTTTCTATTAGCACCACGATCGCCATACACACGCACGAATACACCAGCCTCCTCCGATTTCTTTCCACGAAAAGACGATTGTATCGCCACGGAAAATTACAAAAGTCCATTACGAAATTCCATCTACTACCGCTAGCTAGCGCGCCTGTATCAAACATGGATGACTAGTGACTATGTGTTCGATTTCGTGTCAAATGCAAATATTTATGTTCGCCCAAAGTCTTTTCCGGTTTCAACACCGATGCACGTGCACGAGGACTTCGGCTTCCTGCCGCGTCTCCGGTGTATTTTTAAAAGCGAATCACCGCCGTCCCTACAAGAAGTCTCGGCGTGTCTCGATTATTTCAGGAATAAATACACACTACCACTGACCGGATGAGGTTATGCGTTGATGAATTTTACCGGGCTAATTGCGCGCCGTCTGCCATCTAATTGCGGGTCATACCGCGACTCGTCATCTCGTTACCAATGAGACTCAGCTTCCTGTACCTTGTCGGCGTGTTTAAGTTTTGAATCTTATTCTAGAAGTGTTTTGGGTTGACTGAAACATGACTTGAAGGAAGTTTGCTTTGAAAAGAGAAGGTTTGAAGAGAGTGTAAGTTGTGACTGTTGTACTAATAGATATTTATATATTCAAAATGTGTAGTCAAATATTTAAGATAAAATGTGAAATACATTTTCCAATGAATTCATTATTTACTTGGTCGATCTTCATAATACTGCCTAAAATTTGACATTAGATACTGGGTAGTATTTAAGATTGTACCCTAGTGGTGTTTTTGTTTTAATTGAACTGTTCATTTGTCAAATTAATTAACTTCATCATTAGTTCAAAAGTAAAAGTTTATTTTAATATATAATTTATATAAAATGTTAAATATAGGTTTGATATATGAGTTATATAAAAGATTGGACATTAATCAAGTGTTATAATACTGAAATTTTTAAACATTCAAAATAACTTGGAAGTTTATCACTTTGACTTGTAAATGATTCAATTGTTACTAAACATACATGAAAGTAAATTAGGCAAAATAATAAATACATTACATTATATTCAGATATAGAAATAAGAAACCTGAAATTAGTTTTATAGTTTTAGTATTACTAAATGTTTGATTATGTGTAAATAAATGTGGTGTTTCTAGATTTCTAATAGCTACTTTGCAAATTATAATTGTTTAAGCATTACCAATATAAGTAACTAAAATTCAATTATTTTCTTATTCCAGAATAATTTTCAAAGAAATTTCACCTATGTTATATGGTCTTTAATTACATGTAGTCTTACATGACCTCACTAAACAATGAAAACTCTTCTGATGATTAGGTTCACATTACATGATCCATAAATAAAATTAGAATTTTATTTCAATTTTTCAATCCACAAATTTGATTGAATCTCTAATTATATGTAAACTCATTTCAATGATTTCACTGAACAATGAGAGCTATTGACTAAATTTACATTATATGACCTACCAATAAAATTTGAATTTGATTTTAATATTTCATCCTACAAAATTAATTGAATCTCTAATTACATATGGGTTCACATCGATGATTTCATGAAGCTATGAACAATGTTATTGTTCAATGTTATTGTCATAAGTTATTCATAGAACAATGATTGAGATTAGATTAAGTTCAAGCTACATGATCCATAAATAAAATATGAACTTCTTTTTCATGTTTAAACCTGTAAATAACATTTAGATTCTACTTTAATACTTAGATCCATAACCAAAATTTAAACTTCCCTTTAAACCTGTAGTCCTTGTTTAAAAATACAATTCACACATTTAACAATCTAATAATTCCACTTTCAATTTTCTAACTGGTAAGAATATACCAAAAATCCCACAAAAATCAGGCAAATTTCTGGACTTGATTTCCCAAAGATCTGCACTCATAAACAGAATTTTTATGGATTCAATTTATAAAAATTGATAGATATTAGGATAGGAAGATATTAAAATTTTGTTTTGAAGTGTTAATATTTGTTTAAAATTCGATAATTCTATCTGTAATTTCCTAACTGATCAGAGTGTACCGAGAACCTCCTCGACCTCTGAATATAATGCATAATAGGCAACGAGGAAGCGTTAGAGACAGCAAAATTCCAGGAAAATCGTTAGACTTGATTTCCCAGAGATATCCATCCTCCCCACTGGCATTTGCGTAATACAAAGTGAAGCTTCTAGCGCGGCAAATCTCGGGTACTGCCATTAAACTTTATCAGACAGAATTACGTGTTCGAATCGCGGATTAAAATAGATGAATCACTACACGTTATGGCTGCAATGCTATCTAGCATACGTTCAACGCCTCAATAGCCTTCGAGATACGGACGTAGACAAAAATTCAACGTCTAAGTGACTCTCGAGGAGAATTCATCTCTTCCTGGCTTCCTTCCGATGTACTTTCCTATAGTCGATAAGCTTCCAAGAGTTTCACCTTTACGAGCAGTTTTCCACTCATGGAGGCGAGTTTATACACTCGATACTGGAGTATGGATGATGAATTCTTGATATCGTACTGAATATTTTATTTTATCGACGCCGATGGCACACTTCGATGTTGGTTGTTGAACTGGGAACTTATCGTGAAAAATTGAAGCGTACAGAATAATGAAATTAGTGTCGGTTTAGATGAGAAAAATGCTTCTTTTTATTATTCTACCACTCTCTAAGGCGTAATCTGATTTTGGGATCTCAAAAAATATGTCTATTATGGTTAATCGAATTTATATACAATTTTCGTTTATGTTTGTTAGAAATGAAAATAAAAATGAAAATTTTTATGATGACTTATTTTAATAAAATAGGAATATTATGGTGACCCTGGTAACTGCGCCAGGTCATAGCTTTGTCCCTATTAGAGGCGGAGAAAAATTGTGGAGACGAGTTTTGCACAGTTTAATATGATTTATTACTTAGTAGTCAGAATTTTTCTAAAAATACGAAGTTAAAAATTTGAAATATGTCACGAAATATTAGTGTTTCCAACTGCTCTTAAAATTTTGTTATTCACAATGTCACGAAGAATTAACTCGTTAAAAAAAGAGAAGAAAAAATTGGGTAGAATTTAAAAAAATTGTGTGTAATAAGCTTTATGATAAATGCAATTTGGAATTAGAATATTTGCCTCGAATTTTCGATTTACTTTCATTTTTAGCAGAGATAAATTTTATTCGTTAAAGATGGCTATTATACCTCCTTTCTATTTTCCGAAATTATTTCTATTGAATCTATCTATTACTTGAAAATCGGATAAGATAATTGACAAAATACTAATTAGTATAATTATAAAGGCAAAACGTACTTAAATTCTTTACAAATTATAAATACCATTCTTCATATGAATCAAATTTTTCTCTAAAAATTTTGTAATCTCTCCAAAAACTTGAATTCAATCTACTACGTACCTCCATCACATCTACACCCAAGTCAACCAACACACAAAATTCCCAGAATGTCAGAAAATTCAGCAAACTTCATCCACTCTTATCTCACCAACAAAACTCAAAATATCCCACGAAAAATATTTCAATGCAACTATACAACCACAATCTATTCATCTCACTTAACAACCTTTCCCACACATGCACACACACGTCACCTTTTCCCAGAATGAGACAAGTTCAATGAAAACTAACCCAAATCCTTCTCAAGCAAGCATTAAACCGCATGGAAACTCCCTTAATTCACCTTTCAGCCGCGTTTACACGCGTCAACTGTTCTGGAGGGTATCATCCCCAAAGCCAACACTTGCACGCTGTGAAACTGTAGGCCAAGTTCGGCGCACGGTTTACCATGGCCAAACACACCACCGTGCTTTCGATTCGCAACTACATCCGGCAAGTATACTCTTTGCCTTACCTTCGGGCAAAGGATGTAGGGTCACCGCCGTTGACAAACGTCCGCTTCCCATGGAAACGAGATGCGGCGCTTCCGTTTGCACTCGCAGCGCCCGTCCAGCCTCGCGCACCTCAAGACCGGCGGTCGCCATGCCTGCCAGCAAGAAAACAGAGAAAAAACTACGTTAAAATTAATTGCACCGAGACCGAGAAAGGGTTTTATCGATGTTACAATTCATTTCGAGAAAGCCGTAACGCGAGACGGATTAATCTCGTGCAACAGGTATTTCATGGGGTTTATACAGGGTTTTTTTCTTTAGGGAGGGAGAGAGGAGGGATCGAGAGGAAGTTTGTCGATGTTCAGGAATGATCGATTTTGTGTATCGATGGTTGAGACACGTGTTGAGCAGTGGGGTTTGTGGGTAATAAATTTTCGGATCTGGGAAGACGTTGGGGTTAAGAAATTATGGTTGTGGATTCTTGCTGAGTTTGTGGATGGTTATGGTGCTCGTGGGTTTACTTAGAAGAGTGATTTTGAAGTGTATATTGAAAATTTAGGATCTAATTTGGGAAAATTACAACGTGAATTTATCAATGTTATATCCTATTTTTTAAATTATAATATATTAACCCTTTGCACTCGAGAGGTGACTCTTCGTCACCGTTTGTTTTAATACTATAACTTAAACAATGGATGATGATAATTATATTAAGAACATCGAAATAAAATTATCACACAAATTCGCGATTTTCTTTTTTTAATTTTAGCATAAAGAGTATCAGCGAGCTTATAAAAATCTAAGAAGAGCTTTGAATTGCATCATCACAACGAAGAAATCTTCGAGTCCAAAAGGTTAATTAACCTTCTGTACTCAATCGCCATTTAATTAGATTGTAAAGATCGATGTTAATTAATATATCAAATTTAAAATTACCCAATGATCCGTGGAATGTCGGAGTAAAATAATTCCACGTCTTAATTTGCATACGATTTCCTATTAACCGTTTTAAAAATATCGTCGACTTTATGGAAGAAAGTCTTCGAATTCCTATTTTTCTGTAATAAAAAGGTCGCAAAGTGCAAAGGGTTAAAACACTGGTGAAAGGTAATCATTGATAAGTGGCATTTTTTATTCACAAATGAAAACCTAATAAATTGGAAATACTAAAAATTGAACCTTAAAAGTATTTATACCTGTAATTTAAAAAATATTTTAATTATTTTTCTAAAACCAATAATTTCTCTGACAATACTTTCATAAGGATCCCAATTAATCAACATTAACAAGCCTATGTTACATAATTATATAAAAATATATTACAGGTAAATAATAATTAATGTTAAATAAATAAATAATTGTAGTGCGATTATAATAGAGTAAGAGTCAATATTAATTTTAATTATACAAAATCAACTGTGTATTGTCAATAACTGCAAAAACAAGAATTCTAAAATCCAGCCATTTTAGCCAAGATAATAATTCCAATAATACAACGAAACTGGGAAAAGACATAAAACAATTAAACTACATTATCGACCAAAAATCAAAAATAACAATCGAATAATCTCCATTAAAAAAAATACATACGAAAGTCCCAAAATGATTGTTTTTAACACTTGCAAATATTCCCTAGGACACGTTTCGTTCACCGAAATAATTCTGGAGAAGCACGCAAGGGCGCAGCACGATCGGCACGACGAATTCGATTTCGTCGATGGCGCAGGGATGAGATCGATTTACCGGCGCGAGACGAGAAAAATAAGTGACGAAGAAGGGACGCAAGAACGAGAGGAAACCGGTCTCCGCGGGATGGCCGGGATTCTTTTTCTGTACGTTCCCTTCTACCACCGTCTCCACCTCTTCTTCCTCTCCTTCTTCAGCTACTTCTTCTTCTTCTCCGTTCCTCCCGATCACCTCTCGTAAGAAGTCACGGGTCATGATAAATTAGTGGGTACGCGCCGCGCGGAGGAGGCGCAACGTGTGCTACGAACGTGAGAAAAGGGCCTTTCTTTTTAATGTGATCCTGATGCCTGCATAATTTCCACGTCCTGACGTCTTACGATCTCGCACAATCTGACGTTTTATATCGCACGGCGCGAGCCATTTTCTTATTCGGGATAGCATACAGAACGGAGATAGTGGTAAGAGATGGCGCTGCTAGCTGCGTAGGGAGATTTGTACAATGGAGGACGTACTTCTATGAATATAACCGTCCTATAAGCTCTTTTATTGTTTTATTATTTTATTTAGAAAGCTGGCTTGAGTTACGACTCGTTTTGGGATATCAACAGTTTCGTGATTTAAGTATATTACGAATGAAAAGGTTAGTTATGATAAAGATACGAGTTTAAGCTATTGGGTGAATTTTATCTTACTTTGCAAAGTTGGGTTTATATTCGAGAGGGCGCTGCTGTAGGCATAGAGAGAGCAACCTGTACATTTCTATCAATGCAGTATTCTATGACTTTTGTTTATTGTGATTATGAGAATGACTTTAATCGTATATGGTTTATTTCGAGATATAGAAAACTCTGCGTTTGCATGAATTAAGAAATGAATTACAGTATAATTACAAGCTTAATTTTACATATGCACTTTTGTCTATTTCGCAAAAATAATTTTATATTATTGTAAAATGAACGGATGCAATATAATTTTTACTCGAATCTGAGTAAAAAATGTTGGAATTTATTTAAAACTTACCGACACTGTGGGTGAAATCTGTTAATACAAGGATTAACTTGGTGGTTTGGAGATTACTTGAGTTTCTAGGAATAAGAATGTACAATGACTCATAGACTTGTTTAAATAGGATTATCATATTCATTTAAGGGTATGGAGGTACTTGAAAATTTTCAAGTGACTGGATCTTAGAGAGTTTTTACCTTGTAGGATTTCCTGAGTACTTGAAAGTTAGTTCGTGGAAATGCTTCAGAGATTAAAATTCCAAGAATTAATTCGCTCCATCGTAATGACATCTGTTGGAACTCGTATGTTTCGTGGGAATCATTCGTCTAATTTTTTCCGTGACCGTATCCGAGTAAATAAAAATTCTTGACAACGAAGTATCATCATAATATAAAGACTCATCATTTTGGAAATTCTTTTTCGCGTTCCCTACACTTCGCACAATGATTCCAAATGTATCATCGATGATATATTTACTTTTCACCAAAAAATTGACTAAAAATTGTGAACATACTTTATTTTAAAAATTTTTGGATACCATGAAACACACAGTGGTTCCAAACGTATCATCGATAATATATTTACTCTTCACCAAAAAATTGGCAAAAAATCCTGAACATACTTTATTTTTAAAATTTTTGGATTCTATGAAGCACATAATGATTCCAAAACCTATCATCGATGATATATTTACTTTTTATAAAAAAGATAGCTAAAACATCCTTAACTGATTTCGTTTCCCAAATTTTTGGGCTCTATGCAACACATAATAAATCAAAAAGTTTGCTCAATAATATATCCATCAGTTTTTCTTTCTTTTTTTTCCCAATTTTATTTAAATATTTCCGATCATTTTTCGCTAAGAATGATTAAAAATTAGTCATTGGAACACAGCCACCGCGGAATAACGCTGGAGCTTATAAAAGATCCCCGGGCCGAGATTAAGGGAAACAAGCCAGGAGCAAAACGACTTCCCGTCTCTCCTGATGGCGATTATGATTAGCGAAATTTGTTTCCACCAGCGAAGCTGCCGGGTTTTACGTCCTCGAAGCTCGCCGAATTAATCGGGATTTAAATTACCGGTCAATGAAACCCGAGGAGACGTAATTCAACCGGCCACAGTACTTGTCCTACATGACCATATAACAAAGCTGACGACTCTCGTCGATTTCTCGATAGGCCTAGGAAGGCGAACCGTCGATCCTTGGACGGAGCCCGACGCCTGAAGAACTGCTAGCCGGCTATCTTGTTTACTGGCAAATCGATTGTGCACTTCTCCTAGATTTGCTTTTCGATTATTTCAACGGACGGTGTACGTTTTGCGTAGGCAATTACTCGCGTAGGCATTCTGCTTATGTGGGCATTAATGGTGTACCAAGTGCGCCTGAGTGGCTGTTAGGGATGCTGATTTGGGATGAATGGACTGTGGAGAATTCAATTTTGCGATAGTATAGTTCCAACGGTTAATGCTTCCTGAGTGATTTTTATGGGGATCTCTTCGTGTCAATACTGGATTTCGTGTTTGGTGTCTGAGATAAGGTTAGAAGAGATATACTGGAGAAGTGAATCTCGAGGTGGATCTAGCGTTTGGTCGTGTTTGTTGAGTAATTCTGATGATTTTCTGAATTTTGATGAGTAAATTAAAATTAATATATTGGAGAGAATTAGACAGATGCTTACAACAGATGTTTGAGGGGAGTGGTTTTAATCCTTTGCACTCGACGAATTTTTGGCTAAAGAAGAGTAGAAATTCAAAGATTCTCTACTAAAAAACTGATGATACTTTTTGAGCAGTAAATAAAGAATTGTATAATAATAGAATTGTAGAATTATTTGATTTCGATATCTCGCACACTGTTACATTACAATAAATTTGATATATTAATTAATAACGACCTTCCAAATTTTATGAAATGGTGACTGAAGCTCAACTCTCGAGTGCAAAGGGTTAATGTTTGCTGATGCTCGATGAATGATTGTAATGAGAATTTTCTTAAGTTAATAATGGTAGGTTTGATATGAGAAGCACAAGTGGAATAATTAAACACGTCAAGATATTTTATTTTCTATTTTGTTCATAATAAACATTAATTTAGTTCTCTATAATAGTTTGTGACTGGAGTCCACGATTTTAAAAATTTTATTTCATTTGATTATGACTTATGTGTTTTTCTAATGAACTGTTATAATTTATAATAATAGTTACAATGACATCAATGCTAATTAAAATTTTAAAAGTTAATCATACTGATTTATTTATTACCTTCTATAAAATAATTGTTCCTCTTTCTATTTATATTTTAATTTCAATTATTCTAATTTCTAATATCATTTACCCTTTATAACTGGATTATGTAGTTTCATTATTCTATTATATTTTATTGTCAGTGGAAATAAAAATAACTCTAATCAATTACATCTACCTTTTTTTCTGAAAATAAACAAAATTCTGCCGATAAGAATT